CCTTTATTCTCATGACCTTAATGTTTGATTCAGGGGTGATGTTGTAAGGAGAAACTAGATGTTAGTCATGACAAAAGCAAAGAAGAGAAAATGGCAGGAGGGAACAAGTGACTTTGAATACAAATCAAATACTTCTCCCTAAAAGGTAGCCATTACATTATTATATGTTTTTCATTTAGTTATAATTATAATTGCAACTGTCATTGTTATTTTCAGTATTACCAATTGAAGTAAGTTGTATATTTCTGTCATCATTTATTTATTATTATTATTTATTTATTTACATTTTATCAACTTAATGTATCAGTTTGAGATTTGATTTTATGAACAACATTTTCATTATTTTTTAAATGACTGTTTCTTTAGATTTTGCTACTTACATCTTTCCATGAAAATGTGTCAGCAATAATAAACATTTTTTTTGCTTGCTTAAAACAAAACTAACTATTTTTTCAGGCCTTATTTTTACCACTGCTTAGGTAGTGGTCATAACTGCAATCAGTTCACAATCATATTGTTTTCATATATTTACAGTCATTTATTCACCACTTGGCAAGGTTATACAAACCAACATAATGATCAGCTTCCAGTTGGCTAATGTTAGCTCAGTTGGTAGAGCACTGCACCAGTATTGCAGAGGTCAATTGGGTTCAAATCTTGTACAGGCCTGAATTTCTTTCATGCCTCATATTCACTACTGCTCAAGTAGTGTTCATAATTGCAAAGATTCATATATCACTTTCATATTCACGTCTTTATCCACAGTTCACATATATAACTTTCATACATTCACAGTTGTTGATTCATCACTTCACGGGTTTATATGGAACCGACATACTGATCAGCTCCCAGTTGGCTCATTAGCATAGTTGGTAAAGCACTGCACCGGCATCACAGAGGTCGTAGGTTCAAATCCCATACAGGCCTGAATTTTTTTCAGGTCTTAAGCAGTGTTTCATTACAGCAAAGATCCCTCCCATATTCATTTCTTGATAATCTGCTTTTCATATATATGAATTTCATATATTCACAATCATTTAAAACAAACTTTCTTTCTCATGGCCTCATTTTTGATTCTGCAGTGAGGATTCTTAAGAGGAATTAGATGGAAATGGAAATTTGTAGGTTAAAGATTGCATTGATAGCTGGCTCTTAAATATCATATCATTCCATTCTTGGTATAATTAAACAGGCTGCAATCACAACATCACTACATATGCAGGGTGATTAATTTTCAAATGGCCTAAGTAACTTTTTTTAATTGTTTGTTTGTTTTGAGGAAGGGGAGGGGGTTTGGGGGTCTCAGAAAGGAAATAAGTTAAAGTAAAGTAATGTGCAGAGTTGTCATCTAAACTATTTGTTAACGACTTATATTCAACAATATTGTCCTTGCTTTTGGCAAATAGGCGTTGAATACTAAAATGAGAACAACAGGCATGATAAATTGTCCACTCAAAAAACTGAACCATATTACTGAAGACCTGAGATTCAACCACCATGTCAGAAATAAAGGCAGCCCAAAAAAACTTAGCAATAATCATAATTGACACCTTTTAAGTATAGTTCTAACTTGACACCAAATGAAAAAGTGTATGAGTAACCATGACTTAGCACTGTCCTTATTACAAATTTTTGAAATTTTAATTATGTTACGATAATAGTGCTGTTATGCTGGTGAAAATTGTTATTTTGTAAACAGGCACACTAACAAGCTATATGTAACAAAACAAATACACTCCAATCTGCCCAATTATGTGTAAAACTTACCAGTACTGTAACATTACATATTAAATTCAGAAAGCATACAAAGCTTCACTTTTAAGCTTCACTTGATACAATAACAAACATTCACTATGGTCTTTTGTTAAAACTGCTATTGTTTGCTCCCAAAGTAAATTAACATTTCAGCAATGATTTGGCAAAAAAATTGTCCCCATGCCTTAAACATCATTGATCTAAACAAATGAAGAACTAATAAATACACTATACAAATATATGTATATATGGATCCAGGCTGCTGTCAATGTTTTTAAAAAAGATGCATCCAAGAACAATTTTAACAGAAACAACACTCCAAATAATGAATACAGGCATTGTAATATTGAAATACAAATATAATTCATATATTTTGTATAGTCAATTTAGTTTATCCTTGTTTTCATCCTATAATATATATATATATATATTTTTTTCCTAATCTATTATAATTTTAAGTGTGTGTTCATGTTAAAAAAAGCCTCTTTTTATAGAAAAAGGGAAAAAAGTCGTCAAGTCAGGCGTAAAAAATCCAGCAATATTTGCACTCATGTTAATTAATGTCAAAACCCCAGGCAACTCTGACGTTAAAGTGACATATGGGTTAAGAACAGATGGACTGTCCGCTTTCTTGTTGTCATGAAACGTTCTTTCCATGACTACGTACTGGCCCGTTGTCAACGTTCCTTTCCGTTCAGTACCCCGATCTCGTCTTTCTCGACTTATCTACAGGTATCCTTGGTATTTTTTGTTCAGGAAACGTTCATATCGGCAAAAATCATCAAGAAACAGCTTTCCGACGCACACTTAATATCGAGGGAAATAAATTTATTCAGATTGTATAGAATTTTTGTCACGCAAGGGCAGTCAGAAAAAAAAAAAGAAACACCGAGCTCACATAAACACTCAAACACACGCGCTACCTTCTTTTCCGTAACCGCAAACAAATATCACATATATACTGAATGTTTTCATGGTAATTTTTGTACCACCTAACTTCGTAGCATGTAGGTGAAGCCCTAAAACAACTTACAACAGAAACCCCTTACGTAAGCGTAAATCTTACCGTCCCACTTAATGTAACTTTCGAGGGAATTTGTACCAGTATTCAGCGGGCACGGGTTAGTCGTTTTGAGCCGACAATCAAATTATATAGCAGCTACATAAGAGCTGCGGTAACGAATTTAACTTACCCAGCAGCCTAGCCAGATGCCCATGCCATACAGTCCATTGTAATAATTTGTCACTAACATTGCGGCAAGACCTCCGATAATCGCTAAAACACCAAGCGCTACATGGACGAAGGACAACAGCCGGAGAGACTTAGCGCTCAAGGCCATCTTGTTCAACTTACGGAGTCAATCTGACTTTCCTGTCGCTGGCTTTACGGGCCATTGCGGATATTGCGCGGAAAGAACTGCTGGTTTATTATGCACTTACGTCAAAGACTTATAAACATGTTCGCTAGAATTTTGCCTCGTGCCAGTCTTCTGCGCAACAATTGTTGACAACGTTCGAATTGCTTTCAAGTTCGTTCTAGGGAGGTCCAGTACCAGACTAATGAGCTTTTTGGAATTTTCCTCAACAGAATAACAAATGTGGTAATTTTGGAACTCGGTAATGACGTATAGAAAGTGAAAACCCTTTGATGTCCGCTTTGACTCTGGTCTGTTTTTACGAGAATAGTTTGTGTGTTATTACTGAAACGTCTCCTGGTTCGAAATACAGCTCCTCTTTTTTTTTTTTCTACACTTCTGAAACAGAATGTTTGGCGTACTTCAAGTTCATCCATCATAGATATTCTACAAATACATAGTCGGGTAGATCAGTTGCATAACTATCCTAAGATATTATATTTACCACGAGTTTATATTGGTCGATAGGTGTGTCGCTTAACTATTTGAAAATGGCTGAAATGATACGTGCCCTCCCATTGGTCAATTGGTGTACTTAGGGGGCACCATGGGCGACACGCATTACATGATTCGGGGTATTATTCCCAAGAATTATAATTACTCAGGGACCAGTTGTTCAAAAGGCAGATAAGGCTTTTCAAAGCATAAATCGCAATATAGAGGATGTGTTGACAAAACGTACTGTGCCATCCACGGGATAGAGATTTATCTAGCAGATAGCGTTGCCCACGCTTCGAACAGCCGGCTCTAGGTGACTGGTCGAGAATTACATCATACCTCGCTATAATCACCCGCTTGAGGTAATTTTGAAATACTAAGGCACCACAGCTTTAAAAAAGCCGTCGAGTAAGTTAATTTTGGATGGTTATAAAAAGAAACCGGAAAAATTAGAGAAAACGGAGATGCTCTGATAATCACTTTACAATTAAACTAAACATTTTTTTCCCCTCAGGCTCAGTGAATGTTGTGGAAGACACGAGGGAAACAAATCAAACACTGGATAAGAGAGCGATATAAAACATCAGCTTTTTTCACTGATACGCATCTGAATCAGATATAAGCCGCTGAGATGAGAAGTGCTTGTGTTACTGAACGTCAGTACCAGCAGGGACTGGTGAGACTAAGTGGTTTGGCGAAGTGTGACGCTTACGAACCATATAAGAGATGTTACGATGGACTTCTGAAGATTTTAAGAAACTGTTAAAACCAGAGCCAGGAAAAATAGCTAATAACGGCTTTCAATGCAAAAAGGTTAATGACATATTATAGCATCGTATTCTAGTTAGAAAAGAAATAGATGAAAATAGCAAAATAGAGCATTCGTGAGTTGGCAATGACGTATTAGCTAATATATAATTATTTATTTGTCTATATTTAACGATTGTTTCAAACGTCAGCTGCGGCACCTATATCTAAATATTGGGTACTTAGGGAGTGTGGAGAGCACTCAAATAACTCTTACGCATCTTTCTGGTCCTCCAACTGTCGCTTTCTTTTCATATCTAGATAAACAACTGCTGTCACTTGAACCAATTGTTCAATGAAGATAAATAGATATTTATTAATTTAATTTATCAGTCATTGCTGCAAGCTTGTGTGATTCTTCATTTAATATCTTTTCTTTTTCTTCATTTGAATCAGAGTTCTTTGTTACCATCACCCCTGAGATTAATTCAAAAGACAAGTCAGCTTTAATTAACTTACACTTTGCGAAAGAAAAAGGAGAAGAAAACATTGGGTCATTGTGGACTAGAGTCTGTCATTTCTAATAATTAGAAAGTACCTCTGTGAGCCGAGTCAAGTTCAAAATCAAGTGTCATCTTTTATTAGTACAAATCAAAATTTTTAATGCTATGTGCCTTTCACTCGTTGGTGGCAAAACATGCCCAGAAAAAAATTTCTTGCTTGGTTGAAAAGTCATAACAGATAAACCGAGCCTGTCAAAACGGATCAATACAGCTGAAAATTTCCAGCGGAAAGAGTATTAGCAATGTCACCAGCATAACAAGTTTGTAACAACACAACTAACATGACAATACCAGTGCTGTTCTCAACCAATCTCCGTTTTTAAAGCAATGATAACTAAAACATTCAAAATATCGGCGACGATATGATATTATTACAGCCACTGTTTGTCATAACACAGGAGTCAAACGTAAGGCATGCACAAGTGGATCGATTTCGGCCAGTCGTGCACCAACTTCCGGCGCAAAATGTAAAAGAAAAGCGTGTCAAACAACCAAATAAGGAATGGAAACGTTCACTGAAATCTTTCACATGAAAATAAAAGCAGCATAGGGAAAACTCAGGACTTTCCTAACACAATGCTGATTTCATGAAGTGTGTTCTATTCATTCATCGTGTTTTTAAAGCTTTAACGAAAAAAGCTGCACGTTTTCAAAACACTGCGACAAACTAGCCTTTGTGTTTGTTTCTCAGGATCCTGTTAGTCAAAACAGCTCTGACAGCCATGAAGTATGACGTCTGGCCACCGCAGCGTCGGCACATGCGCAGACGTTTTACTCCTACGTTGTTTACAACAGCAGCACGATTACCTGCCGCTGATCGGAAAATGAGCTCACGCTCCTCTCCTGACTGGGCTAAATGAAGTGACTCGTGAAAAATGCGGAAATCAACCCTTAGAATCAAACAGTTTCCAAATATTCAACAGTAACTTTTTGAGAAACTCCATCAATTTTCAACGAGCTAACGTCAGTTTAAAAATAGAAAATTGATAGTTGATCTGTAAGTTTCCCACAGTTCGCAAAACTTTCTTGAATCGATTCTTAAATCATTTCTTTCGATCTAATCTCGCAAGGTAAAAGTACCTTTGTATGACACACTCTATTTATCCATCTTGTGGCAACTAATTTAGTGTTCATAGCATACTTTGATAAGATTACTTTAGCGTTAATATTTACAATGCAAATGATCCGAGCTCAGCTCAAGCTAGACTACTCTTTCAAACAAAGCATGCACTCCGCATCTTTCATACAAATAACAGGCAAGGGTACTCTTCCTGAAGGTGGCCCCTATCTGAGTTGCCAGAATCGAAGCTGACATCATGAACACTGGACCGCTTACTTTGCGATACCTAAAGATTTAAAATGAAATAAAGGACTTGTTTACTGTTTTATCATTACGGATTATGTATAATAGATCGTTCTTCAACAGCCTGTAGGCGCTTTAACACATCATCAGTCTGAGCGAGACATAAACACTTGTATAGCCAATATCATCATCACAGGCACGAGACTTGTGGCCTCCACCACTGGTAGTCATCAACAACAACGAGATCAAGAATGTTGACAAGTTTTTCTTCTTGTGCAGCTCATAACGATTTGGATCCTCACATTCAATCAAGTGGATTCATAGATTAGGTGCGGATCGCTCATCGTCTGAATGATTTGACCCAAATTCCGGATTTTTATTTCAACAGCTAGGTTCGCTTTTGAAATGAATCGCTAGCTTTCGGTCGGTCTTAGTATGTTATTCCTACTGTTCTTGTCGTTTTCCGATTGGAATCATTTTCGGCATCTTTAGAATAGTTCCAATTATTTTCCTGACCGATGGACTACGATGGCTCCTCATTGTTAGCGTGGTGAGATGTAAATATACAGATATACACCCATCCGTCATAAACCCCTTACACTACGGAAAGTTTCAATTAATGCGGATCAAGAAATAAAAATAATATACATAATACGGATCATATAAAGAAGATCATATCTCACCTCCAATATGTTCTTTTTCGATGACCGGAACAAGTTTAACATTTTTAGGAAAAACAAAGAAAACAACGTCAAAAACTCTTTACAAAACCGAAACAGATGCGAAAAGATCTGTTATAGGTTTCAGAATAAAGATGAACTTTGAACTCGTTTTAAAAGCACCGTGCAAGCAGAGTACTCATAATTTACACTTAAACTACAGGGAGTATAAAATGCTATAGAATTTATTGACCTGCTTCGGATCTGATCCCATCAACTATATCATATTGAACTTCATGTATGACTGACATTGGCGTGGCTTAGCTTTCAAGCTCAGAATTGGAATATAGGGCTGTTGATAATTTGGTTTGAATAGAATTTTGACCCAGAGTCCGAGGAGTGAACCAACGTGGACAGGCAAGTGAGGGACCGGTCATTTTTTATCGTCGGGGAGGGGGAGGTTTGGAGAATTTTGGTTTTGTTGCGATGAAATCAAGCCTAAGATTCTGTAGTATTCTAAAGACCCCCCCTCCCCCTTATCGGTAGTCAATTTTCCCTGGTCCCCCCTTTATGCCGACCATCGATCCCCTCTCCTTTCTTCCTGAAAACCATGTGATCCTCCAAACATTCCCCCTCCCCCCACCCCCCTAAGGTGACAAATTATAACTGTCCCTAAATTGACTGTTTTCAATCTGTTAAAGCTTATAAAGTGTGACTATGAAGTCGCGTTTGCTAAGGTAAAGTCTATACCTGGGCAGCCTGTCTGGTGAGGTCCTGCAGCTGGTGTCTTCCCGTCAGGGCAGCAGCCGTAGGTGGTGGCAGCGCATGTGTTGGCCACTGCGTAAGCTATTGTGGAGGGTGCTGTGAAAGATTTAAACAGAGCAGTGGATAAATATTTATATAGTGGTACTAGTAGCACAGTAGGTTAACGTTCCTAACTTGATCAGTTGCAATGGAAAAATTTGGCAATCTCTAACTGCTTTAAATTAGATCTCATCTCAAGTTTATGAAAGATTTATAAATATCCTGTTTGACGCAGGCAAAGGTGAAGCTTCTCCGGCTTTACATGTAAAAACCTCTCGAGTGTCATCATTGATAGCAATGGCTGACTTATGTCATTAAAGTGAATTTCGATTGAGTGTCGCAAGACCAAAACCAAAGTTATCGCTAAAGCCAATCAAAATAAAGATAAGTATCACTACAGCCAATCAAAATAAAGTTAAGCATCACTAGCAGCCAAAGCTGAGCCAATGACGACTCAAAGTGAAAGTGAAAAACCGTTTAAAATGCGGGAAAACAGGAGTGGACAAGTCACTAGTGTTTGTTTTAGTTTCGCATCAGATGAATTTATTTTTGATAACGTATTAAAATTTCTCTGTTGTAATGGTTTACAGAATTAAAGAGTTTTTGCTCCCATAATTTGATAATGGACTGGACTTGAAGTGATCGACCTTTTTCATAAAGGATATATAAAAAAGAGCCCCTACTTTCACAGTTAATTCCCGTCCAATGTATGGGACAGTGACATTCATAGGATGCTCCCTTTGCTATACAAACTCCGCCGTGCTCACAAGGACTCGGGTGACAGTGGTCTTCATCTACCGAAATAGGGAAGACATGATTTTTTAGAGTAATCAACCTTTTCCTTCGTGTGCTGCTTGCATCTCGTTTCGTCCATGTAGGCAGCCAGTCACGGTCGTCCGTGTGTCTGTCCGCACGATCGTCCATGTATTATCCGCTGTTAAAAAATATTCCAAAGAACTTACCTTCACATGTGATTCCAGTCCACCCCGACGAACAGGAACAAGTGAAGTCTTCGCCGTCGATCTCACACACGCCACCATGATGACAGGGATTAGGGTGACAGTTGTCACGCTCTAAAGAAGGGGTTCATTGCAGATTTTATCAGTTCTTGCATGATGTATGCCGACCTTTAAGATAGTTTTTTTCTTCTCTTGAAAACAAATGTATTGGTAAGGATCGTAAAGTAAAGAGTTGGGATGAAGTTAAAGTTGAGATGTAGTTACCCATCACTTTTTCATTGTTATGGCAAATCGTAGATTTTATTGAAGCTTATTACCTGCACAGTTGATCCCTTTGTAGCCTGGTTGGCATGTACAAGTATAACCACCACTGTTCTCAAAACAGGTACCACCATTTTGACATGGGTTGGAATGACACTTCAACTCCTCTAAAATATGGGGGTAAATGAAAAAGATTTAACGTCCTGCATAGTTGCATATCAAAAATTGAGAGGTATTTGATCGATATCTTGGCCGAGGTAAGAAATGTTTTTTGATCAGCTCAACCACATGACACATCTTTCAAAGTCCAGGCCTAGTAAACCCACGTGGATTTCTGCCCCGCAGATTACAAAAGGTTTTAGGCAAGCGTAAAGCATGTCTCTGGTTGGATTTCTATTCAAAGCACTAACACATACTGACCTTCACAATTGAAACCTCTAAATCCCTCTGGACACTGACATTTGTATGTCCCGGTGATTTCCTGATAGCATGATCCACCATTTTGACAAGGAAGTGCGTGACATCTATCCGGCTCTGTTAAACAGTCGATTTTGTTGATTTTAGACCGGCTAGCTATTGGATAAGGGATTCTGGTAAAGAAAAAGGGCCTAACTGTTTATGGCCTGGCCTATGGGTCGCAAATTTTGCAATCCCTGACTGGTTCAAAGCGTTGTGTTCTTGGACAAGACGCATAACTCTCAGTGAGTTCGTCGCCATCGATATTAGAAATTGGTACCCACGAGCTCTTAGGAGCATGGTGACCCACGACGAACCCGTTCTGCTAGGAACACGGTAGTAGCAACAAGCCATATCCCTTTACTCCAAGAAAAAAAGGCATAGGCTCCTTGACCCATGGGCTGCCTGAGTGGTAAACTGACTTAGCCTTACTAGGTAAAAAGAGCGGCTCGATAGCAAATGTGGAAATTTGGTCGATATCAATTCAATTGCTTTTCAACTCACCCTGACAATTTATTCCCCTGAATCCTTCGACACAAAGACAGTGGTATGAACTTCCTAACGTAGAACACGTGCCACCATTTATGCACGGATTTGATTCACACAGGTTAATCTCCTCTGCAAAAAACAACAACAACAACAGAATCAAACTGGTACAAATTTCTGTTGCACAGAATTATCACTAAAGGGTTTTTAAAAGCCTTTAGAATTTGGGGAAATACATCCAATTAACTCACCTTCACAATCCTTGCCTCTATATCCATGTAAACATTCACATTTGTAATCTTCGTCCTCTATAAGTTCTCTACAGACTCCACTGTTCTGACACGGGTTAGGCTCACATTTTTTCTCGCCTTTGGGGGATAAGACAACGACGTATGAAAATTTAAGTGCATGTATCCAAATCACTCCTGACTTCATGTTCATTCGTTCGTCTACCTTACTGCCCGGACGAAGCACAATTTTGGGAGGTTTCCTCTCCTACCTTTAATTGTATTTATATGAAATAAAGAGTTTTAGACGATAATTATCTCAAGGATTAGATCAGAGATCATTTAGAGAACAGGTTTTCATAGCTTGTATCTAATAGCATGCGTTGAATAAGTTTATAAATTATTACTATTATTCTGATGGCAAAGGATAAACGCCCAAAGTGCAAGTTATGGGCATGGTTAAAAATCTAAGCTGGTTAGACTTGACGTTTGTGAAAAGTTGAAAAAGGAAAACCGAGTTAAAACATAAGAGCAGGAAAAGCTATGTAACCGATGAGCCTTTCACCTATAACATTGATTGAGGACACCTACTTTCAGCCGGAGCCGAATCATCCATACAGTCATTTTATTGTGAAACAATTTCCTAATGAGTATGGCCTTCCCAATGCTACGTTACTGTAGCAATGTTTTGTTCACGTGAAGGATACGACAACACACTTGCCTACATCCAAAGACAACTTACTTTCACAATTCTTTCCGCGGAAGCCGTGAGGACAAACACATTTGTAAATGTTAGGTCCTTGGTTGAGACACGAACCACCATTAAGACAAGGGTTAGAGTCACAAACTGACACCATCGCTGAAAGAGAAACGTGAACAAATTAATGCAAGGCCTCCTTGAGGAACACCTAGCGAATCTCAGCAAAGACTTGCTACAGCCTCTTGCTTACGGCTCCGTAATATACACTCGTTGAACTACGTTTACGCTACGATCAAACACTTTTGTTTTTTATTCGCTTGTTTTTTTTTATTTATTTATTTCTGATGCCATATATTGGAGACTGCGACAACCAAACAGAGATTATTTCGCGAAAAAATCACTGCATTCTAGCTGCATTACTTTCAACTTCACTTACTTTCGCAGTTGATTCCTGAAAATCCCGCTAAACACGAACACGTGTACGAGTTGTGATTGTCGAAACATGTTCCCCCATTTCTGCACGGATTGCTTCGACATTTGCTTTCAACTGAAAGAATGAATTTGAAACGGGAACACGGTGCTTTTTTAACATTCGAGACAACGGATGGATTCGACGGATTCAGTGTAGAGATTTCGCTTAGTAATGAATAACGTTACTTACTTTCACAAGCGGCTCCGCTGAATCCCTCCATACACAGGCAACTGTGAGACCCCATAACCTCCATACATGTTCCTCCATTCAGACATGGGTTTAGGAAGCAAAGGTTCTCCACTGTAAAAGATTAGCAGAAAACAGATTAAAACTTTCCTAAACAGGAACTTCTCCCTAAAGCGTAATCTTAAGATTACCAAGGAAGAAAGTGCAACTGTCTAAATTTGACTCAGTCTTCCCTCGAGGGAAAATGCTATATTTCCCACGAACACATGCCCGAAAAATATGTAGTTCCTAGTTTGTTATTGTTATTAATGCTTCAATAGGTTTTACATTAGCTGAATTATACGCACCTTTTGATTGTTTCTTAGTTATGAGCTATCAGAGGACAGACGCGCAGGTGATGTCATCATGAGCAACACTTTGCTTTTTAATTATATGAAACATATATATGAATATTGCCATGGGTCTGTACAGTAATAGATCACGGGAGACGTCAAAATGTGGCGAGAACATCAGTGACGCGCTCGGCTGCGCCTCTTGCGCCACTTTATTGTACTCGTCACATATTGAGCCAACGCACGGTAATCTGAAATCTATTTGTAAAATAAGGTGAAATACAGAATTTCTGCATTATATTCTCGAAAAAGTTTTCCAAAATAAAATAATTTTAATCTTATTTAGTCTCTTATAGGATGCTTATTTAGTTACTGACAATAGATAATCCCATTTACCTTGACATGTAGGTCCTTTGTACTCCGCTGGACACGAACATTCGAATCCATCATCCATTTCGGTGCACGTTCCGCCGTTTCTACATGGATTTGGCTGACATTTATTTTTCTCTATGATAAATTGAGGTGATACAACATTCGTAAGTAGATGAAATAAATTTTTGAGTGACTTATTCTGGTTTCAGTTTTCCTTTGCAATTTATGATCAAATCATGTTGGCTTGGGGAATGACCGCTTAGTAAACATCAGTTTGGCTGTCCGAGGCGATAAGATGCTTTATCAAAATTAGTCTTTAAGCTGGTAAGGTCATTCCTTCGGAATAGATTCTGCACTGAAAATCAAATAAAATGAACCTTAAATTTGATCTTAATTCCGAATTCCTTAAATTAATTTAGTGACGGAAGCACCTCTTACACGTGACGTAAAACTCATGGGCACATGTGTACATATCGAAAGCGGGTAAGAGGACACAAAGAAATTATTGTTAGGAATTTTTTTGTTCGCATGACACGGTAATACTGAAAGTGGTCAACTGCTTTATGGATTTGCAAGCTATCTCATTTCGAGTCCCCAGGATAAGTTCTGACTGAGTACTCTCACTTCAGATCAGCGTACCGTGCGAGTAGACATTGAAAAAAAATGGAGCCCAGAGATCTATGTGGAGTTGAATCGGAGAATTTGTAAAAGGAGCCAGCGATTCCGCTTGTTGTCGAACCTTAACTCATTTTACAAGAATGAGTTAAATAAAAGAAAGAATAAATAATCGCATGTAAGAACCAATCTAAGAGTGAATCGCACCTTCGCAGTTCATTCCCTTGTATCCTTCCATACAGGTACAAATGTAAGCACCATTGGCTTCTGTGCAGATTCCGCCATTGCGACAGGGATTCGGGTGACACTTGTTCTCCTCTAGGATAACAGATAAAAAGTTACCCTTAAGCACTGTGTACCTTAATCAGTAAAGCATTTAGAGTGGTTCTAGCTTAAACTTAATGAAACAGAAGCCACAAATTTGTAATAAGATTTTGTCCCGACTTTGTTTAACTGAACTACAAAATTGTCAGCCCGATTCAACGATAATGAAAAAGGCTGACGGAACAAATTAAAGATGTTTTATACTTATGGGCATGGCAACAACGCCGTGTAAAATCTTGCATCAAAAGAAAAAAATGCATACCTTCGCAATCAGTTCCTTTGAAACCAGGAGTGCACATACATTCATAACCGTCCTTGACCTCGTTACATGTGGCACCATTCTGGCACGGATTTGGATTGCAGTGACGTTCTGTTAAAATACAAGTCAGCTGAATTTGCTGTTTCTAATTGTAGCTAGAAAATGGATAAGGCTACCGTTCAATACTTCCTACTGCTTTTAGTCTCTGCAAATTTGAATTAAAAAATAAAAAATAAAGAATAGAGTAGTCTGTGTTCTCATCACTCATGAGCAATACAGACCACTTAAGCAAACATCGAACAAACGAAATCAATTGCTAGCACTTCGAAACAAACAATCAAACAAACAATTTAGAATCTGAATTGTTTACAGCCAAAATCAATCAGAGAGAAGGATAAAGGAAAAAGAAAACAAATCGATAAGATATTCATCTGAAAGCTATTTTTAATTCTCTACCCTGGCGTAAGATAGTGTGTTATCTACGTGAGAGCTATAGTTTTATCTATCTGTAATTCTGTCCGAATGCTTAACTCGTACAAGAAGACAATCTTACGTCTGTCATTGAGACAATTAAGCGCGATCTCTGCTCGGTCTCATTGGATCGTCGCCATATAAAGTTGCAGGGGGTTGATTGTGTAAGTGCAAGTGATTTCATTCTTTATGTCATAGTGAGTGGGATTTGTTTTTTTATTTTGTCACACCACCAAACGTTCTCTACTCCTTTCTACAAAATTTACAGATGATAAGTACTACAAGTAAAAAGCTGACTCTTTGAGCTGAATAACATTCGCTTTTACGCTCTAGCAGGACAATACAGAATTTTATAGAAAGGTCGACCTGATGTGATTTCTGACAAACGACCTTCGAAGAGAATAAATTTCATTTACTAAAAGTTCAGTTTATTCACTCAAAAGTGGTTACATGGGTCTATTTGGCGTGATTTCTTTCGTTTTTGTTCTTATATGTTGCATGGCCAAAATCAATGACGAATTTTGTAAACTTCCGAAATTCTTCTTCAAATATTGCCAATTAACTTTACCGTGCTATTTAGACTGATGATCGTAGGTGTCACTATGACTGCCACCTTTACCTGGTTTCACGATTGATGGATCCTCATGCGAGCAGCCGAGGGGGCGAAACTAATGAACACAGTAAATATCAAACATACCTTCATCTTCTTCGTCCTCTTCACCATACATTTGTGCCATTGCATCGTAAAAAGGGTTATGCAGATGGTGCATTCCACCGAAGAATCCTCGACCAAAAAACGGATTATATGGTATTGGCATGGGAGGTCTGGGTATACGAGTTGTTACGATTGTTCTCTGGGTCATGGGTGGCGGACGCATAAACATATACGAGTGACCGAAAGCATGTGAAGGGCGCATTATAAACTGTCTTTTTCTCTCTCTGTTCTCATCTTTCAAAGGCGAAGGAGTCTGCTTTTTCTTCAGTGACTTATTGACCCGTGTTTTTCTGTGTTGCCCTTTTGAAGAGTCGCGTAATTCAAGCTTTGTTTGTTTCCATTTTAGTCCATCTTGTTGTGTCTTCCCCCTTCTTCCTTTCAGCTTTTGTGCATTGGATTCCCGTTCGTCCGCTGGCCTAGCGGCGATTTCACTTAAAACAACAAATAAAGCCGCTCCCAAGAAAATTCTCGCTATCCGCGGTCTCATTTTTGACGGTTTTCTGCGAGGAAAGGTCTCTCAATTGAATTCTTTATTAAGTTCATACCTTTCTGTTTACGTACAAGAGCAAACAAATTCTGTTTTGCAATTGGTCACCATGAACTTTACTTGTTAATCAATTTAGATCAATGGTTTCGATTCATCAATAAATGATTAGTTTAGGCTTGGTTTGAGATAAGTGAATAGTGGGCCAGATTAGATTTTCCACCTTTTACTCTAAATTTTAGTTAGCTTGATAGAGAATGATAGCTTTTTTCTTATCTAAATCTGAGAGAAATACAAATAGATGAATCTTAAAAGTATAGTTTGCCTTGCATGATGGCAATTGAGTTTTCAAACATTTCCAGTGTTCCGAGAATGCGCTCCTTAAAAAGCACAATTAACTTTGAATAGAGGCCGATCGAGATGTAACATCTCCGAACTGGTGAGGGATAGGATTTCACCCTTGACCTCACTTACCCTAGCAGTTTGCTAACTAAAGATCTCCTCAAAACTCACTGACAAAACGCGTTTTATGTACGTCTTTTTTGTTTGTTTGTGTCATGTACTTGTTTCACAGTCGCATTGCCCGGAATATTTCTTAGACATGGTTTTAAACCATGCAGATACTCGAGAACCTTAGGCAAGAATGATGCACTACGTTTAACGTTCTACGCTTTAGGGTTGACCAATTTATTTTGCAAAGGAGATATCCTTTAGGGTGCAGAAATGACTTGTTTCGATTAGGTGTTGGAAACTTTTATATTTTACGATGGAATAATTCAGCTTGTAGTTAAATTTGTGAGATAACGAGCAAATGTTTTTGAAACAGTTGATATTTCTAAATCAATAAAATGAGAATTGTAGTACTCCTGACTGCCATCATTATATAGGCATGGTGTGTGGGAAATTCGTAGACCTCTTTCATATAATCGACCTTGAAATTTTTTAGCAGAATTGAAAGGAACAACTCTAGACAAAATGAAGCAAACTTTAAAATCAATTTTATTCCTATCTTGACACCATATTCACTTTCATCGCTTTGATCAAATTCTTCGTTCAAAGCTCGTAATTAGATTAAAGAAAGCTGGCGATTGAACATCCTCACAATATACAAAGATGGACTTCAGTACTCATGTCAAGAAAGTGGGTAAGTTTCTAAAGAAACTGTGGTGCTGCGTTTGTGGGTGGTAGTACAAAATAACTTGGTTTCATCAACTGAGTGGATAATGTAAATTTGCCACTGTTGGGAGTTTCTAAAACTAACATGTCGAGCACCTGCCCTTCGTTAAAGTGAATAACGAAACGTCAGTCTGTAGAAAGCTCTACTGTGGCCAATTTACATCTCATTTGATAAAAACCAAAACATCTTAAATCTTCACAGATGAGATAACACTTTTATTTCCCGACTGGAATCATAATTCTTTCTATTATCCATGTTTAGGTGTAGAAGTTTCGTGTTTGAACCGTTCTTGCTTAAAAAAGATGTTTGCTGCATACTTCTGATAGTTTAAACTGACACTGCGTGTGATTATGAGCAGTATCCCATCAGAGTAATAACCTGAGCTTATGAAAAATCCTTTTATCCTTTAGTCAGAAACAAAATTCAGAGCTTTCTGTTGCCACTTTTGAAATTGTTTTCCCAGAAATAGGTATAGACAAAGCAAGGTTAAAAATATAAGGACAAAAAAGCTTAATATAATGAAAGAGCCTAAAGATGAGAAAATTACAATTGCTAAATTTTAAGTTACAACAACCAAATATTTGTCTAAATTGCACAGGAAGTTATCAAAGTAGTAGAAGGACTAAATTTACTAGGAAGGACCACTTCTTCCTTGGGTTCCAATTCATGAAGATCTTTTTATATCGTCCTCAGTGTTTAGGTGGTCGGTTGGGGTATTCTTCGAAGGCTTGTTGTCGTCTTCTGCCAAATAATGGATAGGTAGTTAAGTTAGTTTTGAAATCTGTCATCTGTAGGTGGAGTTTAGAATTTCTTCCCATTCATTTGTCACTAGTTGGTAAAGGATCTGTGGGGTCTGCATCATGGCAAAAGAGTAGTTTTCAACATACCTCTTAGTTTGCTAGGATAATGAAGAGACGAGTGAATAGAAGGGGTAAGTTTCTAAAGAAACTGTGGTGCTGCGTCGGTGTGAGAGTATAACAGGGTAATTTAGTATTGTCAACTGAGTTGATATCGTAAATTGGCCACCGTAAAGAGTTTCAAAGATAACAGTTTGAGCATAAGCACTTCGTCAGAGTGAACAGAGAGACGATCGAGTAATGCTCGAGAAACTCGTTTTTTTTTCAAATAACAGCAAAAAAAAGGCGTGTAATGAGTTCATCATTAATCATCATCATCATCATTAAGCTAGACTGTTTTACCTTGATCGTGACTGCTTCGTTTTTTCTTGTTTACGCGTCTGTAACTCCGTTGGAAAGGATTCGCGTAGTTTGGATTCGAGTACCAATTTGTTCTGGTATAAGGATAATGTCTATAACTCTGTTGATTATTTCTTCGGTTGGCGCTCCTACTCGTATAACCGTTATAACTTGAATAGAAAGGACCATGATTTCTTGACCTCTGATTCAAAGTTTGTCTTCTTGCCGCTAGGCCAAAAACAGGTGTCCCTCCTCGTAGAGCCAAAGTGACAGGTCCATTCCCCGGAGGTGGTGATAGCCCTGGGGGCATTATAATCCCAGGTGCCTGAGCTACTTTAGGTGATGAAGATGGTACGGCAAGCAGAGATGACATTGCTAGAGGTGACGAAATGAGACCTGCTGATGGCGGTTGAGCAGGTGCTGCTTTGGAAGGCACATATGGAAGGGAATTAGTAGACGGTGCTGGTGCCAGGCTCGGAGAAGCCACATATGGCAGTAAAGATGATGATGCAGGCACTACGTAACCAATCTGACCTAGTGTACCTGGTGCTAATGCCATCGCAAGACCTCTGCCTGCAAGAGAAAAGAGGCATTGATTGATACTTGAGAGAAGGCTCCGACGAGAGGGTTTTATCTTTTTATTTGAAGATTGTTACAAGTAAGTAATGTCATACTCGAGGAACTGGGAGGGGCATAGCCTTGGACCGTCGCAGTCAAAGTTTTGGCGGGAGGTGTTTGGGCAGATTTTGGAATCACAACAACACCAACTTGGCCTTGATTGGGTCTTTCAATTTCGGCTGTCAGACCAACATTCGGCTTGGTTACACTTGTAACTGGTTTGGCTAGTAGGGTTGTACCCAATTGTCCCAATACTGCGCTTGTTTCCTTTGGCTCTTGTGGCACCAAGGCTACAGCTGCAGTAAACGAAATAAAAGAATTTGGCCACAAAATCAAACTTTTAACCAAAGTAAAGCAATATTTTATGGCATGCTTATTTTCCTTGCCAACGCGGGGATTATAGATCTCAAGAAAATGTTTCTTACTTCTATTTCATGAATAGATCGCTCTAATTCAATGGATTCTGACCAAGAAATGGACCCCAAAATGCGCTGTTTTCGACGGGAAGGTTTATTCTTAATAGACGAATTCGAATAAGGAGTCTACATGATTATCGCCACCCAATTTTCGTGTGAGAAGTTGGACAATGTTCCTAGAGTCAACACATGATCACAGCCGTGTGGTAACAGGGAAGCTTGCCTCATTTATAAAAGAAAATTCCACAAATCAAAAGTGTACTCGGAATACTAGCAGATCACACGAGCAGCGAAACACCTATTGATGTACAATTTCTTATGTCCTAAGACCGATTTTCTTAAGTGTTACATGCTAGCAGGCATAGAATCTAATATCGAAAAACGTTCATTACTATCGACCTCGTCAAGAGTTGTGGGCCACAGGCCTGCTGACCAAGGAGTATTTACCTGATGGTGCACCAGGTGTCCCTAAGGGTGCATGAACATCTATCACCTGAGCTGCAAATTCAGAAAAAAACATAAAATACCGTGATTAAAAACTCTAGTCATGTGGGAAATAAGGTGGATGCGTAATACGGCGGGAAATAATTTTTACCATTTCGGTAATGATGAAAACATTTACTATTCCCCCTGGTAGTAGTTTGAGGCGAAATGCGGAAGTTCTATAACCATTTGTTGCGTATATCAAAACGAGACCTATACCTTTAGGACGGCAATGGATCAGTGATACTGTTTCTTTACAGTATAAGAAAACATTTTATTTTAGCGGTCTTTATTACATATTTATTAATTCTGTCAGATAGGAAGTATAGAATTATAACTGACCTGCTGGTTTGTATCCCTGTGCGCCTATTGGTTTGGCTGTGGCCTGAAGGGCAGCTTTACAAAAAGTGATAACAATTCTGAGTAAATTATTGATTTATTTTAATATTTGCTAATGCAGTGCGAACAAGCAAAATTAAAAACTTGTCATTTGGTCCTGGTCATTTACGGGTTTTTAACAGAAAAATTGCAATAGAGGGATGATGATGAAGTGTAATAGGCTGTTTAGATATTTGTGTTTCTCCAGACGTCCTGAAGAGCAATTGTTGGGACTTATACTGACATATCTATGCGCATGAAAAGATGTATCTATCGCTTCCCAGGCTAGCATTCCCCGACGAAGAAAAGTTTTTTTCTGACTTGCCTTTTTTCCAAAGGTAACTCGCTTATAGATATAAAAGTCTTGTCCAAATAGATTTAAAGGTAGAAACTTACCTGTGACTGTAGCAGTCTTTAATTCAGATGCTGAGCTGGCTATTGAAACAATAGGAAATTTCCAGTAAATTGATAGGAATTGATACAACAAGAGTACTTATCTATCTTTGCACTATCTCTGTAGTGGATAGAAACTCGCCATGTATCGTTTACCTTCACAATTCATTCCTATGAAGCCCGCGGCGCAAAGACATTTATAACCGTTAGCGTTAAACGCCACGTCAGCTGTGTTTGAAGAGTCTAAGCAGGTCCCACCATGGAGGCATGGGCTTGAGTGACATGCTGACTTAGGTGCTGTTCAAGAAAGAAACGCAGGAGTAATTTGAACTATAACATGCTCCTTTTTTGTTTTCAAGAAGAGAGATTGAGATATCATTTTAACAAAGTTACATGAACAACTTTTATTTACAAATTCATTTTCTTACTTTCGCAGACAATACCACTGTATCCAATTGGACAGAAGCAACGAAAGTCCAAAGCATTTAGTAGTTTCAGATCTATTCCAGCACTGTTTGTATCGTCAAAGCAAGTCCCATTGTTGAGACATGGGTGGGTGGAGCAAGGATTATTCATGACAAGTTCTGTTGAAGTGAAAAAAGAAGCAGCTATGATAATAAAATTGACATCTATTAGCTTGATCAAATTATACACTGATAATGAAGACGCAGCGGATTATCCTATGGAAATTTACTGTGTTCAAGTTGATCCGTCACTGCTGAAATCTGGACCAATTACCACCAAACTAGTCAGCGTTATCTACAAGTTTCAACTAAATACGACCCATTTACTTACTCTGACAGTTTTCTCCTGCGTAACCCTTGGGGCAAACACATTTGAATTGTGAATGATTTGTGAATATCACGCCCTCCAGAAGTGAACCATCATTGTTTGTGGCATCTACACATGTTCCTCCATTAGCGCACGGGTTTGATGCACATGCACTTTTGGATTCTGTAAAAATTAAATAAAAAATCACCTAATTTTGTTTCATTACCTTAGCCAGGAAATTGCCAGATTCGCGCTTATTTACTCCTTTGTATAATAGACACTTTATAAAACAGTACATAATAAATGTCATGTCGAAAAATATTACTGTGAATGTGATCGGACCATCACGCAATCGTCTAATATCTTCACCAATCATGATATAATAATCACGGTAATAAGTCAAAGTTCCTATTTGCTAGCCTCTCTGAGCAAATTTTTATCTTAAAAGTATGATCAAGAGGTTTGGATGGGCATGGGATGGGACGTTGACGAGAACTTTATTAGGGGAAGTAATTAGGCTTCCAAAAAATGATTTTTCTCCGAACCATCTGCAAGTAGTCGAAAGGATGGTTTTCTGGTCTGAGTTTCTGCTTCAGGATTGGTAGGTCAAAGAGCATTTTAAAAGCTCATTGCAGATCGCAACCCTGGATGCCAACCATCATGCATGTTATCTCACCTTCACACTTAGTGCCGACGAATCCTTCGCGACACGTGCATTCGAACAGTTTTTCACCATGTCCTGGACGACATGTTCCGCCATTTTCACAAGGGTTGGGTTGGCACGGATTTCCAACAGCTTAAACAGAAACGAATTTATCATTTAAGATTTAAAAGCAGGGAGCATTACATATTCAAATTGGCATTTCATTTGGACAACCATTAATCTTCCTGCTAATTTTGTTAAAAACCAGATACAGGACTTACTGTACTACAAATGATCGATGATTTCTATGTCTGCTGTGTAAAGTATTTCACAAATCAGAGATCTCATTCAGCATACCTGTATTACCTTAAAATTATTAGGTACGAAGAAACAACGTGGTATCAGTGACGTTTCGATTGGAAACCAAACAATTCACAGAAATGCGGAGGAAATACTCAATCATTTTGATGTTTCAACTTACGAGTGCACGTGAAACCGTTGCCAACGTAACCATGTCTACATTCACACGTTCCATCCACGCAGTTCGCATTTACGTCACAACGCGCACACTTGTCATCTATGTGAAAGAGATACTGAATTATAAATTAACGGTATGAGTTCTTCACCAAGGTACATAGACTATTGCAATAAGACTTGAAAAAGAGGTGACGTACATTTTTTAGGTGTGCTAATATGTCAGTGGTGGGCTAATTTTAGCTAGAGACTACCGGCGAAGGAATCAGGAATATATTACTCACTTCCACAATGTTTTCCTGAATATCTTTTAGGACAGTGGCAAATAAAGGTGTCGAGGGCATTGAAACATGTTCCTCCATTAAGGCAAGGGTTGGTGGGATAGCAAAGATCTTCACCTGATTGAGAAGCAAAAGATAGAAATAAAAATAAGGACGGTTAACAATTAAGACTTGAGTTTACAACTTTAAACATTAACTGACTTCAAGAGCTGATTCACTGTCTCAACAGCATTGTTTCCGTGACATACGTACGTTCGCAGGCATATCCTCGCCAGCCGGCTTGACAGAGGCAGTGATATCCTCGCCTGTTATGAGCCTGTAAGCATGTACCATTGTGTTGACAGGGATTTGGAATGCACGGATCTTTTCCTAATAAGGATAAAACAGAAAAGCATAGGTTAGTAAACCTGGAGAGTAGAAAAACTGCAGCGATCATAACGTGGTAGTCAGTAGCTCAGAATTCCATCAATTCCTAAAGTTTACCTGAGCGACGCTTTGTAACTTCTGAGGAAGAATGGAAAATAATAAAAAAGGTGCATTTAGCAAAAGGGAATCAACCATCTATCCATTCTGAGCATCTGTATTATCTACCGGCACTCATGCGTACTCATTCAGTATCGACGCTAATTATAAGGGCATACTCGATTAATTGCTCGTATCTCAACTGATTGTAGTCTCATGCAAATCTTACTTTCGCAATGCGATCCAACAAATCCCTCCTTGCAAACACAAATATAGCCCTCCTTGCTCTGTACTTCAGCACACAACCCATCATTTTTGCAGGGGTTTGGGAAACAGTGACTGCTCAAAGCTGCGGAATTTCAGGGTCATAAAATAAATTTAATTTACTGAAGAGGAACCAGTTTACTTAAAACCGCAAATTAAAAAGCTTGCTACAGCGTATGAAAATAACTTTTAGCGCTCTCCTTACTTTTATAGCTACTGCAAGACATAATTTGGTGTTTCAGTTGATAATATTGACATTTTGGAGAAACTGAGTGGTGGTGGAGGAAAGGTAGCAAGTTCTGCAAGAGGGAATAGTACTGCTGCTCTCCTTGTGGATCAGGATTCTTCATTGTCTTATACAGGCTGTTGACAGTCGTATGAGAGCGTTCCATAACTAGATATCTACAAAATTATTCGACTTAGTTTCCGAATCCACTTTGCTTAGGCATTTACCATTTGATAAACAAAAAAAGAGGAAAAGAAAACCACAAATTAAGCAATGCTTGGACGAAGTTATAAAACATTAATCAAGTCAACAGAGCGTTACCAAGATATTTACTGAAAACGTAAAGTGGCTACCTTCACAAGTTTTTCCGAAAAATCCTTGTTTGCAGTCACATTCAAAGCCATCAGTCTTTGGAGAACATGTTCCTCTGTTTTTGCAGGGCGACGAAAAACAGAAGTTCGCCTCTATAGTTCAAAGAAAAAAAATTGGAGAAACGAATGGGTAATGAATGAAAGGCATAAAACGACTAGTTTGAAAGTCCTTTTAAAAAAAATTACTAAAAAAACCTTTGGCTGTTTTGTGTGGGTAATTCTATTATCAATCATTTGTTAACTAACACTAGTCATTCATTTCAGATTGGAACAATCTGTTGAAATATGTTAAAAAAAAAATTAAAAAAAGAACAGTTTCAAACGTTTTTAGCCAGAATGCTCATTCTAAAGCTTCTGGGTTTATACCAGTAAGGAACACGATCAGAAGAGCCTTCCATTATCATTCTAAGAAATATTAACATTTATTTTCAATTTCTTCTATTATTCTAAAACTACGTTTCAAGAGAGCTTAAAGCTAGTTAGCCTCTAACTATCTAAACACTCACGTTCACAATGCGAACCCAAATAACCCGGAGGACATTGACACGCTAAGTTGGTTCCATCAGTTTTGCACGTGCCTCCGTTCTGACAAGGGTTGTGGTGAAAGCATAAATTTGTTTCTGTTAAGAAGACAACTGATGTTTTAAACTGTAGATCATCGGTTGAGCATATCCGACTAAGCAGAAAATGTCCAATAAAGTTCTCGTTATATAAATATTTCCTTCTATATCTGGAGATCAAGTCTACGGTACCAACTGGACATTTTGAGAAATCGCGATGAACAAAATCAAGATCTGTCTTTCTTGGTTTTTGGTCTCACTTCGACTTTTCCAAGAGAATGGATTTAAAGAGTCTCCGTTTCCGTGGCACTACCATGCACCGTACTATTCAACATCGGGGTAAACTATTTCTCTTGTTATTGCGCGATGGCGGACTTTTTTTTGGCATTGAAAAGAAAAATTGAGTAAAACTTCTTCAATCAAATGCTATTCGTGAATATCTGTGAACAAATTAGGTTTAGTTATAATAAGAAGTAATCTTACTTTCACAGTCGGGTCCCAGGTATGCAATGGAGCAGTAACACACGTAGCCGCGACCTATGTCAACGTCACGACAAGTGGCGTCATTAAGGCAAGGGTTTGGAAAACACTTGGACTGAACTGTAAAAGAAATAAAACAAATTAGATCCTTTCATTAGATGAGAGCTACGTTCTGAGAGATGTTTCAGACAAACTGAACATTTTGAATCTCTAAGAAGGTGTCTGAAAACAAATAAATTTAAAACCTCCTAGAAATATAAAGTGATACAGTCTACTTACTTTCGCATCGCTTTCCAGAGAAGGCTCCTGGACAGTGACATTCAAATGCAATGCCTTTATTCACACAGGTCCCATTGTTAAGACATGGACTGGGTAGACATGGATTTGAAACTAAAAAAATAAATAAACGAAACTGCATGAAGTCTATAGATGAACATTTCATGGATTTTATCATCCTTTTATCTCATTTTGAAAATAGATGGTGGAATGTAGGCTCGCTGGAATAAAGAAGGATGTCATTGGTCTTGTCAAGAAGGTAGGTCAAAGGAAAAAGTTGAACCCGATTAAGAAACGAACCCTATTCCCTCGAATTCTATGCTCCATTCTCTTCCACTGATATTAACTTGATATGGAGGTTGGAGACATTATCTTAATTCATGGTTAGCGCGCTTAACTAAGGATTAATCATGTGGGCTGAGCCCTGGCTCGTCAGTGGATTTTTCTTTTCTTATCTTTGAGCCAATCAAATTTTCAATACTTTTACGCTTTTGCCTTTATTCTTTTAGACTATGGTGTGATGTAACATAAAGCAACACATTGTTTGTTCGTCTGAGGTTCTCTAGTCTTTAATTTTATCTTTTTACCGATTCTCACCTGTGCAAAGTGGACCAACAAAAGCGTTAGTGCAGATACATTGGTGCTGGCCGTGGCTCAGTCTGATGCAAGCTCCTTCATTTTCGCAAGGATTTGGAAGACAAGGGTCAATCTCTGTTAAAAGAAGAAACCGTGGACTATGAAACCTTAATTTTTGATGATCCCCTAAACTTCAACCAAGTCATATCAAAATTTGTCCATCAGAAGGCCTGGACCTCAATCATGATAATGATTATTGTTGGTGATGAAATGAAACGGAAGAAAATAAAACACCACAAAACAAGAAGGACGACACTTTATCAGCCGCTTATGCATATGATGAGCGTCATCCATGGTTTGCTACCTTCGCAGAATTCTCCAACTCTTCCAGCGGGGCAGTTACATGTAAAACTATCTGTTGTTGTTTGACAAGTTCCTCCATATTTACAGGGGTTTGGGTAACAAGGGTTTACTCCTGTAATGATGAAAAAGAAAGCCGCGGCCGAGCTTTAAAGAAGATATAATCATATAAAAGTTGCACATACACAAATATTTCATATCATTTAAACGATAAGAAAAGAAAGCAGTGTATGTTTCACATTTTTCTCGATATCGTTTCATTTCATAGAGTATTCAGCTTCTTTCAGTAGCTGATCGAGAAAAAAATCCTAGGGTAGAAGAAGAAACAGTTGTTGAAAATAGGAATTTTGAAATGGGCTAAGGGAATGCAGAGATACATTTTGATCTGGATTGTCGAGTGACGCCCTCCTCCCCCGCCGAGGAACCGAGTCCCAAACCTTCGGATTTCTCACTCCAATAGTCTACCAAAGAGTTACAGGGAAGGCTAAGCTATTGCAAAATTCTTGCGAGGATCAGCATGTCGAAAGCTACATGGGAGTGAATAGGAGAAGAAAGATCCTAAATTTTCTTGGTTTTTTTTCTTCTGTTCATAGACAGAATTTTCCAATACCTCGTTCCCCCCTCGAGACAAGGCGAATAATATCTCTCTATCATTCCACACGGTGTGCAGAAGCTGTAAGCAATTCATCAAATAGGTGGACTTACTCTCACACTTTACTCCAGTGTATCCTTTTCCACATTCACACTCATAATCAACTTCACTGTGGCTGAGACAGTGGCCCCCATGGTGACATGGATTCGGGCTGCAAGGATCTTTTGCTGCACGAAATGAAATTAAACTATTATCATGGGGATGTTGTGACGACGTTGGTTACACGTTGCTAGCGCATAGCGTGTCATGAATAATGGATAAGGAGGTCTTCGCGAAATAGTGGAATTCCTTTGTTTTTTTATTAAAGGGTGATCTTAATCCGCCAAATGGGGTCTCCAGGAACCCATTTCAACTTGCGTGAGCCTTAGATAAGTAAAAATGCGTTCATGATTCAGACAAATTTGACACTAAACAGACGTATAGTTCTTTTTTAGTCTTTAAAACTGCAGATGGTGTGATTCCTTATATCATGGCTCTCCCAAAGGCACTCTTACTTTATCATTTTTGTTGCATTGCAAAATCGCATGAACAGAGTTTATCGATATTTACGGTCGTGATAATAGAGATATCATTTTCCTCCCTATGTTGTTGGGCACAAGGTGACGTTAGGAAATGAGCCCTGAATAGGACAGAAAATGAGTTTACCTGCGCAATTATTTCCCTTAAAGCCAAGGGCACAGTGGCATTGGAAGGAGAATCCATGTGCTTCACAATGACCTTCGTTCTTGCATGGATTTGGAACACAAAGATCCTTATCTAAAAAAAAATAATTTGTCACACTTTCTCGATGAATAATAGTTTTTGCATTTTTAATGACCATTATTGGTTTTTGATTTACTCATATAACCTAATGCAACAGGCTTCATTCGCTTTCCCTTTCATAAAATAAATAATAGAAAAAGAATCCGATGCATGTCTAAAACAAGAGAGAGAGAGAGAGAGAGAGAGAGGCACCAGCCTGTAAAATGGTCAAATTTTCGGTCACAATTTAATTCAAATGACGCCTGACTACAAGTGCTAGCTTTACACTACACTTTGTCCTCCTACTTTTGTGGTCTGGACATACCATGACAGTGTTCTCCTTTCCAACCTGCTACGCAGAGGCACTTGAAGGTATTGTTATCCATTTCTATACATGTTCCTTCGTGCAGACATGGATTGGAGGCACACATTTCCCGGACTGTTAAAAAACGAAGAAAATATGTTTTTTTTAAATCCACAATTTTCTCTTCTACTTTGGAAAAAGTGATAATTTTATCGAATTATTGTATACAGCAAATTTTCAAAGATGTTCATCGCATTTTTGACCATGTCGTAAGCTGACAGTTACGAGAGATATGATTAGATTCTGCGGTGGGATATTGTATCATATACATTTTGGTATACTTGTAATCCAAGCTTCAAATTTGACATGAGAATATTTCAGACCGAATTTATCTCAATAATGAATACATTATATAATTATGAAATCAAAAACGGTTACCTTTACTGAATGACTTGACTTACTTTGACATGTTTCTCCTCTGAAGCCAGGCTGACAAGAACACGTATATCCTTGCTGTTCAGCGGTGCAGGTTGCCCCATTCTTGCAGGGATTTGGAATGCAATACTCCTTTTCTTGTTGAAAAAAAAGAAAAAAATGGAAAGGGTCTCGCTTTTTAAAATCAGGTACTTGTGCATATCATAATTTTTAAGTATAGGTTATGCACCATACCACAAAAACGTTCAAAATATGCTAAAATCGAAGAGGTTTATGTACCCTGTCTACTTTCTATAAGTGAATACCGCGAATTTTGGATTTGTGACGCCTTACTAACGAATTTCCATGAAATTAATCAAACCTTTTTCTTGAGACGTAAACAAGTGTTTAAATAGCACTTAAACCCTTAAATTTCCAAGATGTGATTATTAATTCTCCCCTCTAGCTGCTAATAATTTCTTTGTAAATTGGTTATAAGAATTTTGCGTTAGATACAGACGATAACTTCTACTTAGTAAGTTTGAGTGTTCTCATTACCTATATGCTGGACAACATATGAATATCATGCAGGGAAGTTACATGTTAACCACTTCTGGGAGATATAGGATTAATGAGACATCATACCTTCGCAGTTGACTCCGCGATATCCGATTTTACACCTGCATTTATAATCATCTTCCAGTTCTACACATAAACCGTCATTCTCGCATGGGTTTTTAGGTCGGCAATGGTTTTCCACTGAAAATGTTTCATTCATGAGTTTAATGTTAATATACGGATTTTATGTTTGTCTTTATGTTGTATTTGTGGTGGATTTCTCAAAACTAACTATAGCCACTACAATTTCCTCGAATGTGATTGGTAGATGAAGGTACAGTTGGTTGCAGTCGTAGATCTAGAATTTGACGCCTACATCAGCCAATCGCATAGATTGTAGTCAAATTAATTCAGAAATCAAAGGGTTGATCATTAGCAATGGTATTTCTTATCAATGTTGGGATTTTCCAAAATATTGAAAGATGTTTTTATAGCTTTCAATGTGCTTTTGTCAGATTTTAATGGTCAAGTTTTTAAAGATTGAAATTGCAAGCTCTCAAATCGATGAAAAAAATGGTAATTTTGCGGTCAGGAATCATACTCGTAATCGAAAAATCGAATTTCCGCTTCACGGGCATTCGGGTTGGTTAATCACATGTATGACAAAAGATTGACCTAGACTCTACACGGTCCAGTTACCATGAAATGAATAGAAAGTACAGAAAGATTGTCTTTGTCGTTGTTGATGTATTTTGTTTTACAAAAGGAAAACTATTATCATTAAAAATAAATAAATAAATAGATAAATCAATTTTAAAAATAAATAAAAGAGTAAAATCAGATAAGGCCCAAAATTTAGGAAAGTTTTTGCGTTTTCTTGCTCCATGAGGAAAGAGAGCATTCTCGTTTTACGAACGAAAGAGGCGTTATCGAATATTTCGGAAAGATGCTGGTAAGAGTTGCGATTTGGATTTTCAGAGAAAACTATATTTTGAAAAGGTACTACTACTACTCACCATCGCAGTTTTTTCCTCGAAATCTACTTTTACAAAGGCAGATGTAACTCGTTGCGGTCTCTTTGCATGTTCCACCATTCAGGCATGGTTCAGTATTGCAATATTCAACCGCTGCCAACATAAAAAGAGACAGCTGACATAGAAATTAAACTTTTGTAGATAATCACAGCTACTTGGCATCAGTTCACAAATTCTCTTGGACGTATGTACGTTTGAAAAGGGCTTGAAATAAGGGATGTTAATCAAACTTAGCTTCTCAAATATCTCGCTTTAAAAGTGATCTCAAATTTATTTTTTCTTGGGGCACAAATACATCCGCTTTCAAATTACTATGAGATGACCACTTGAGCCGTTATTGTTTTACATCTTTTTTGATCCTTGATTAGGAAGGGTTTAATTCCTACTTGGATCAGTGATTGAAACAAAACTTAGAAATATGATGAGACCTGATAATCTTTGTACCTTCACATGACTTTCCTTTGTAACCTTGCATACAGAGACATTTAAAGCCATCATGAGTAGAAAAACAGGTGCCTCCATTTTGGCAGGGATTTGGTAAACAATTATCCAGAGAATGCTTTATACCATTAACAGCTGAAAATGATAACAAAATATGATATTATTGATTTATAAGTGATGTGAATGATATAGAAATCGAGATATTAAGAATATGAATGCTCAAGAGAAGAAATGCATCGAAGAAGATCACCGGATGTAAGAAACCTACCGCTACAGCTGCAGTCGATACAGTTCCACTGTGATGGACAGACGCACTCGAACCCAGTGTCTGTTTCAGTACAAGTTCCGCCATTTCTGCAGGGTGTCTTGTAGCAGTAGCTTATTTCTGGGACAAAATATAAAAAATTACTGCAATTAAAGCCATCGTGGTGCATTTGAAATAGCTCTTAATGCGACAAATGGTTTTTGTTGCTTCTAGGTTAATGAGTCGGGAAACTTGTCGCTTGAACTATCCCATGCATTGAATTTCTTATGTTCAGGTTAATTATGAGGAAAGATTCTTATCAAGATGGCGCCAGCTTAGTTGCCCTGGGGAAAAGCTGCATTGCTGGTTGATAATGGCGTTTTTGTTTTGGTTTTTTCGGATGCCTTGCCTTCGAGTCGCTGGCTGTGATTTCTACACAGCGAAAAGTTCTGCCTTCAGCCGGTTTGAAATCTTTAATCTATGACACGCTAACATTAATGCGCATATTTTCTATACTGTCTTCTATCCATTTCTTCTGGAACGGGCAAGAAAAATTTGTTTAACAATCTAAAATTTTTAAATTACTGACCTTTTCCGATATTTTCGTGTCCTTAATGTTTAATTCAGTGATACTGCAAGGAGGGTTAAGATGTTAACCACTCCTAGGGGCTTAAAGGTTAACTAAAATGTAAGGCTGATTACCTTGACATTTTTTCCCACGATACCCAGGAGCACAGCTACACTGGAAGCCCGTGTCCAGCTCGGTACACGAGCCTCCATTCTGACACGGATTATTTCCACACTTGGCTTCCTCTAAAAACCAACAACCAAAAGTGTTCCGTTAGTGAAGTCTCCAAATTGATATGCTCTTATACGTTTTTCAAATCTTTCCGTAAGACTTTATCCAGGCCTCTTTGAGCAATTTACAATTCTTGAAAAGAAATTTTGCAGGTGTCCCCAAATTTGAAACTTTTGAAATCTTGTTAACAGCTTATTTGTAAAATGTTTTCCAACACTAATGATTAGTTAAATTTGCAAAGCTGTCCACACATGTACGTTAATACTTACGACTGCACGTTTCTCCTTTGTAGCCAAATGAACATGTGCACTCGAAGCCTCCATTCAGCTGAGTGCAGGTTCCTCCGTTCATGCAAGGGTTCGGTTTACATTTTGTTCGCAGCACTGTACAATAAAATCAAATGGTGATCGCAGAAAGAGTAGATTATGAAATGGTAATAATGATGACAAAAATAGAGAAAGACGTCTGAGAGCGTTAAAAAAAATTAAAGTCCTTCACTACAAATAAATTACTCACTTAACATTCCTAGATTGATTATAACTTTCGCTATTGAGATGTCGGATGGTGATGGAGTCAGGACAAGTTTCTCAAATTCCAGTGTCAACCTCCAGAATTTGAGCGAAGAATCAACAAATGTGTATCTTTCATTGAAGTCCATTACAAATTGCTTCTTTTCTACAGTGATGCATAATAAAATTTTAGGTAGCCTTTTGTCTTAAGCCAATCGACTTTGACTTCGACTTACACATGTTAATTAGTTCCACACTCTAATTTCGAGGTATATAATATACTGAGTATGAATATACGTACCATTACATAATCTACCACTGTACCCTCTATGGCATACACATCTAAATCTTCCATGTCTGAGTCTCTTACACCGTCCACCATTATAACATGGATTAGGACGACAGCCGTCGATATGTACTGATAAATACATACATAGAAGAAAAAAAATAAAATGAAACCGATTATCTGGTGTCGACTCCTATTTTCCTATAGGGAGAGTTTATCTCAAATTATTTCGGTAGAAGGATGGTCTTTCTCGTAAAATTTATGGACGAAAACTAAAAAAGTAAAGCTGTTAAACGAGTGAAATTTGTTGATCTATGTTCTGTTAATTAAGCAAATCAATTAAATGAATAGCACAATTAATCAGCAATCACTTCCTCAAATGCAATTTAGTTCAATTAGGCGTGAGGTGTCATGGCACAACAAAAAATTTGCATTGAGTCGTATTTAAAAGTGACTATTTGTTTACCCTAGGATATTGACCTCAATATGCAAACGAATTTATCGCACCTGGAAATTCCTCAGGCATCAAAGCAACAGGTTCATTCAATGGATCCTCGAACTCTGCTTCTTGTTCATCAGGCGTGTCTTGCAAGTAGTAAATTGGTCGCGAAATGGGACGAACTCTTACAAGCTGTTGATGATATGTAGGTTCCACCTCCATGAAAGGAATGTTTTGACGCGTGTTAGCGTTTTCCATCGATTGTTGCACTGTTAAAGGACGCCTAACAACGAAAGCTCGATACAGGCGCGGCCTTCTCGGCAAATATCGGTTCCTGTCCGTTACGAATGAATAAACTACTCTGCCTTTCGGAGAATGTTCGTTCATAAAACGTTTTTCCTTCTTCACCTCCGCTTTGTGATGTTGGTGACTTTTGCTTGTCGTTTTAGATGTTTTGTCTCCTTTGAACGCCGCTTGAGAGATCTTAGTCTGAATTGTTGTCACTAAACTTAGGAAGAGAAATGTGATGTGCCATGTGCCAAGTGTTACTTTCATGTTCAAATGTTAAGAAATCGTTTATCGAGGAACTAGGTTATCCTTATTGTGAGACCATTGTAAGAATTAAGAGGATGGAAAGTGTGATTCTCGACCAGTTACGTGGCATAGTGGGTTACCGATCTTGGTGCAGGTAGCATTCGGAGTACAATACCGGCACCAGTTTCATCGTCTGTTCTACACTACTTCCAAAATGAAAAACAAATTTAGCTCAAACATTCAAGTGGCGAGCAGTACAACTGAGTTTACTGTAAACAGTTAGTTTTTTTCCTAGCAAAGAAAATTCACCAAAGGGCGTTTAACTCTGTCAACACCGCGCAATTTTTCGGAGCCTTTTAGTCTAAGATTATCGTGTAAATTAAGACTTCTTACCTAATAGAGTCAGTACAAAATTTGAAAACGGGTTGCCTTGCATTCAGTTTTTCAAAGAAAAGGAAATGGAAGCGATTGAAAAGTCCCTCAGGGAAAACATACAAACACATACATATATATGCTAAAAAACACAAATTCAGAGTTATCATGAAACAATGTAAATAAAGGTGTGAAGATGAGATCTCCATGCATTCTTTAAAGATTCCGTCAGTAAAACGAATTAATTGAGTCCATAGAGCAAACTGGCAAAGGTCACAAAACAAACACTTTTCCTTCAAATATTCGATTTTCTGTGGCATTCAGAAACGCTTATGCCTTAAAGCATCGAAAGAAAAAAGGGAAATGTGAACAAATAAAGAAGAAAAAAGAAAAAAGGGGGCGGTTTTGGCCTTAGTCCTTGAATTTCTTGATTGACAACATTGTCGTCCGTTCGATTGGTCTTGGCGTGGTGACACGTATTCAGTGTTGTGTCTACTCCGCCTTTATACTGCCGACATCTTTACAAAAGTGGAGGACTTCATTGTTTTTTCAACCTATTTTCATTGTACTTGGGTGATAAACGAATTCCTTGAATATGATCTTCATCAGCCACCTGTTGCCCAAACTTAACCTCCTAAACTTGATGATATCTGGCACCGAGAACCATTTCCCATCGCTTTGCGCTAAAAATGAAAAAAATAATAATAGGGTAAATAGTAGAGAAAACATCTCAGAGGTTTTCCTGAGGAAATACGTAACACTTAAAAGTAGCAAAAGTACCCGATCGCCATTTTGGCCTCATATGATTTTCGTCAATTTTCTTTTTTATTGATGACAGAGTCAACGTCGAGGTGGAGGTACATTGGGTGACTCTCTTAAATAAATATTCATCAGTCATTGATTAGTCATCTCTGGTCAAAGATAAGGAAAACAGGATGTAGTTACTGTCTTAATTTCTGTCAAACAAAACATGAAGAATTAGGAGAAGCCTTTAAGCCGCTGATAGAACACAACAATAAGAAAAACCGGAGTGTATGTTTCATCACGTAAACATTTTCTTGTTATGACGCTATCTATCTATAATAAACAGAAGATGAAGATGACAGCATAAAAATCTCTTTTATTTGTCATCAGGCAAGAGCTGAAGAACAATTCTCAGCAAAAATGGAGCGAGAAATCATCGCGTTATCTAATAGAATTTTAATGTACACAAGTTGTTAAACTAATAATAACGTCACAAACAAAAGGTTTAACAACTGATATAAACAGACCACTTAACATAGGTGTAAAAGTAGAGGCAAACCACTCATTGCACAATTCTGTTATATGGGGTCACCATTTGACCCATCCAACTTGAAGGGTCAGTATGTTGTCTCGGTTCCATATGTTTACACAAATTTACCACTTTCCTAGATTTCGTTAGACTTGTTTCATCCACGGCCTTTTCAAATGTGACTTGATAGGGGTTTTATCAAACATTACTCAGAGCTCAATTTCTACTTAATAAAAAAGGGAACATACGGACAAATTGGGGTTAACAAACACAAATTAGCGAGAGCGTGTCGCAATCATCGTTTTGTTTTTTTTAGAGAAAATTTTGTCTTAGTCATGGATCAAGAGCCAATTTATTGCTGTACTAGAAAAGAAGGTAAGATGCAGCAGTAAGTTTGTAAACGATTTATTGTAAGAACTGATTAGTTAGTTGCAACAGGTCCTAATGGCCGGAGATTTTCTTTGAGCCAATAAAGTGCCAAAGATGACCTGTCTTGTCAAAAGAGGGCACGTGACATGATTAATTCATAACAACCAGAAGCTTTGACGAAAAATGGCTATAGTTTAGACGTTTTCACTAAGTTTACCTTCATGGGAAAAATAGCGTTGTCAACATGAAAGTATCGTTTATAATTTTAGCCATCTTGGTATTATTAGTCGTAATTCACAAGACGGAGGGAATAAGGGAGAACCACAGCGGAAGCAAAAGCCAGCGACAAGGACAAAATAATGCCGCTGCCTTTTGGAAAAGAAGTTCATTGCATAAATCAGAACAACACAAAAGGCTCAAGGAGGCGACGAAACATAAAATGAACGATGTGGCCCAAAGTAAAAGACAGTTTGTGCCCGGATTACCATGTCTTAATTGTCCATTTCCACATATTCACAGAATTATTGTACATCATCACCCAGGTAGGTCAAATGTTTCCGGCAAGTGACTAATGAAGGGCCATATTCTTCCCGCAGTGAAAATAGGTCATCCGATGATTTTGAGAGATCTTATGGGCGATTGGAAAGCCGACGAACCAAGAAAAGCGACTGTTTCATGATTTATTGAAAAAGAAACGCGTGTTCGTATTTCCAAGCAGCGATAAAACTCCTTTCATACAAAGAACGACTTTCTCGTTAAAAGGATTTGAAGTTTATCGAATAGTTTCTTTCTCATTATGCTACAGTATAATTGATACACTTCGGTTTTCATAATTGTTGGAAGCTTGCTAATCAGAGGTGTTGTACATTTAAGATACTGTGACAATTTGATATGGATTTGTTTACAAAACAACAAAGGTGCAGATTATCATCACCTTAGCTCATCGTGATATTTCGCTTGCGCAACGAGGGAGTTTTTGAAAAAAATTGTGATAAGTTCTTTTCCTCTACGTACTTAGACTTTTTTTGATTGAATATTATTTAGAATTCTTCAGAAAAGGAAAAAATTGAAATAATCTTGCTATTCCATTGTTTTTTGACTGAGGAACCTGGCTGGCAAATTAAGTTTCACTTGTTGAAATTCCTTTTTTGAGTTTGTGCAGGTGGTCAATTTTTTTGATAAGTACACAAAATTACTCGCAGCATTTCCGTGAACAGAACAGAGATTTGCAAAAACCAAACGTTCAAAACCTTCCTTTCACGAATTAGGGATTTGCATGGTCACTGATCCTGGATGTCAAAGTCACAAATGTTACATATGGTGTTTGTCGCGAAATTCTTTCCAAATAAAGATTAAAGGCGTGCCGTCTCTTTAGAAGAGAAGCCGGGCACGAGGAAAAAAACTGTTCCCATACACATTGCAAATATATGGCTATAAAAGGAGGTTTCCGGT